AGGCACTGTCGGGGGAGCCCCTCTGGCAGCGTGGGTCAGGCACTGTCTGGGGGAGCCTCTCCGGCAGGGCTGTTTCCTTCGGGAGAGACGGCGAATGTGGCGGACACTTGGCCTGGCACAAACTAGCTTGCACCTCCCTGCTCAGAGCTAAACGCTTACTGACTGAATGTCCCTACTTTGTCCTGATCCCCAGCAAGAACTGAAGGTAATCTTGAAACCAAGTAAGAGCTCGCCTTGGGGGAGGCCAGTGATGTTTTTGTTTGGTTTCCTTCATGTGTGGCCGGTGCTTGCTGTCAGCAACCTTGACATTGGCATCAGCTCCTTGAGCTTTGGTCTGGTAGGTTTACCTTGGATGGCTACCTCTCCTAGGAGTTGTTTTAATGTATTATAAAAACTTGTATTGAGTGTCGCCTCTCAGTCAGTCATGGAGATTGGCCTTGGGAACATAAAATGGTAAACAAAACAGATACAACCCCTACCTTGCCTCGTCTAAGTCTCATGGGAGAAGAGGCATAACGAGAGGGCCATATCATTGCAGAGCGGCAGCGTCCAAGCTGAGACCTGCAGGACGGGGCTTAGTCACTCAAAGTGGGGGAAGAGGAGTGCTTCCAGCAGAGGGGTTCCAGCCCGAATCCTGCCCTGTGGTCATGTACTCAGGAACACTGCCTCGTCCCTGAGAAAGTTGAGTGTGGCCGGGCCTGGGCGTTCTGACACCCCTGTCACTCCGTGAGACCCCATGAGCTCCCAAAGAGCAGGGATCTCCTGTATGACACGGTTCATGGTAGGTCCTGGATAAGCATGTATTTAGTAAATAAGAGGTGTTGAACATCGTCTTGAAGCTGCTTTCTGTTAGACTTTATTGGTATTAAAATATGATACACTGCTTATAAAAAGGCCTGAAGTAACTTGATTTTCCAGAAGCTTTTTCCGCAGCAAGGCTGGCTGGTCCTTGCCAAGTCAGCATGTCCTCCCCCTGCCTCCTCTGCTCTTACCCATGTTGTTTTCTCTACCCTGTTGGCATGGCCTTTAGAGAGCCTGGCCAGTGGGACAGAGAAGTGATGCTCCAGGGGTGTTTTCTGTGGGCTTCTGCGGAGATGAAGGCCCCTTGCAACCATACGGGAATCACGAGTTGAGGCACCGCGTCAGCTGTCTGGAGTCCTTGGGAAGGTCTTCTGCATAGGCGAGGTTTCCAGCTCGCTGAAGATTTACCTTCAGATACTCGAACTGTTTTAAGTCAGTTCCCAATTTGACTTCCATTTTAAAATATAGTAGGCCTTTTCCTGGAAATTTTTAGAAGAAAATTCTTTTTCCCTTGTAACAGATTTTAAAGGGTATGATATTGCCAGTGCTTCTTGGGGGGGGGGGTGTATGATTTTGCATTTATAACCAAGGACTCTAGGCACCTGAACTCTTCCTGTTTGCTACTTTATAATTAGGAGATCGGTTGAAACTTGCAACTACCGTCAGCACTCTTGGCTTCATTAGCCCCTGCCTCTTTCTGAGCCATTGGTACTGATAAACTGTGAAACTGGAAACCACAGAACCAAGTTGTATTTACTTGTTCGTGTGTTTATTTCAATGTTTGTACCTTCACTAAATGTACGCTCAGCCAGGCGTGGTGCTAAGTACTGGAGTTACACCAAAGTGAGGGACGCTGGTTCCTTGTGCTCCAAGGGCCTTCTGGAGGAGCAGAGGGTGCGGGAGCATGGTGGGGGACTGGGCAGAGCACCTCCACCGGGCTGAGGTGCCACGTGGTGGAGACTAGGTGGCCCCCCAGTAGTGACCCTGCATTTCTTAATCCACGAAGTGTGTAACTGTCATTGCGTAGCTTGGGCTGCAGAGGCCACTTCCCGTGTCTGTGTCATGTTCTAGATGGTGAGTGCCTGTTAGCAGCTGAGCTTCCGGTGGGCGAGATCTGACCTGACATCAGTGACCTTCCCCCCCCCGTTTCTATCATTATTAGTGGTGCTGGTGAATCACTTGATTATCGGAAGGTGCTGATCCTAGACCTCCCCATTGTAAAGGCATATCTTTTTTTCCATTACAGTAAGTAAATTTTAGGCCAGTATCTTGACATGGATGAATGGCTTGTTCCCCCAAAACTTCTCACTTAATGTTTTAGAGTCGGTGAGCCTTTCCTGGATCAGTTACCTTTGTTGCAAAATTGTGATTTTTCCAGTACTAACATTTCTTCTGCATTTGCTAGCAGTCCGTGTTCTGTAAAAATCTTCATATCCTCCCTCCCTCCCTTCATCATTATCAACTAGATTTTTATTTATTCAATGCATTACAGTCCATTAGAGCCATTATTCTTTTGATACATAAAACTGCCCCACGTGTGGCTAAGTCGGAGGCACCTTCACACTGGTCCATGCCGTTCACATTAGACTGTGAGTGCATCCTGGCTTCTTGATGCAAGGCGTCCCACCCTGTACCTTCCCTGCCCCTCCCTTGGAATCCGTCACCTCTCAAGAAGCGCTCTCAGTGCCAAGGAAAATTCAAAACCAGGACGTGGGTAATAGGACTATGCGCTACTCTGGAGAGGTCACTGCTCCCAGGCGCTGTCAGTGGCTAAACCTAGGAAACAAGAGGAAAAAAATATGCCCTTGTACTGATGTTTTTTTCTGAAGTATTCATTTGTAATCTCTTTTTTCTTGTTAATTAGAAACTCAATTATGGTGATGTTTCGAGGTTATCTAAGAATCTTTCCTCTTAAAAAAAAAAAAAAATCTTAAAATCTCTTAGGATGTGTTGTTCTTATCTCTCCAGAGGGAGAAAGGACAACCTAATCCACACTGAGAGAAAAAAGTGCTCAGAAGGATTAAATAAGTTGTCCAAGTGGACCCTGTCATTGTACTGCGTGCACTTTTTTTTTTTTAAGATTTTATTTATTTGAGAGAGAGAGATGGGCAGGGCAGGGAGAGGCAGAGGGAGAAGCAGGCTCCCCGTGGAGCAGGGAGCCCGACACTGGGCTCGATCCCAGGACCCCGGGATCATGACCTGAGCCGAAGGCAGACGCTTAACGACTGAGCCGCCCAGGCACCCTGTGTGCACTTTTTCTAAGTGTATGTGTGCTACTTCTGTGATCGGAGGGGGTCATTAGAGGTACCTTCTGTATACTTTTTAGTAAATTCCTTTTATATCATATATTTGCAATAGATCTAAAAAGCATCCTTAATGTTGCCAGGATTTATAATCTATTCTGGTTACTTTCAGGTGCGGCTAAATCAAGTCCAGCGTCTAAGCCGGGATCCACACCTTCTCGTCCCTCATCAGCCAAAAGGGCTTCATCCAGCAGCTCAGCATCCAGATCTGATAAAGATTTAGAAACACAGGTCATACAGCTTAATGAACAGGTAACTCATCAGCCCTGGCCCAGTCTCTGAGGGGAGGTGGGGGGAGGGAGCAAATGCCTGTAAGCCTGAGGTAAGGACGGGGCGGGGGGGGGCAGTGGTTTCAAGCAAGTAGGGATTAAAGAAATTGTTCAGGCAGATAAAATCAGTGGCCCACTAGGAATAAAAGATATTAGTCAGGGGGTGCCTGGGGGGCTCAGTCGTTAAGCGTCTGCCTTTGGCTCAGGCCATGATCCCAGGGTCCTGGAATCGAGCCCCACGTCGGGCTCCCTGCACCGCGGGAAGCCTGCTTCTCCCTCTCCCACTCCCACTCCCCCTGCTTGTGTTCCCTCTCTCTCACTGTCAAATAAATAAAATCTTTAAAAAAAAAAAAAAAAGATGTTAGAAATCACAGCTATACATTAAGACAGAAGGACAGAGGACTCAGCCCCAGGTAAATGCAGGTTCATAGGCCAACGTCTCACTCCCCACACCGCAGGGCCGATCATAAGCTCCAGGCTAGACCACGGCCTCTGCCCACTTCTGGCCAGTCTAGATACCATTCAACACTGGAGTTAGGGTTAGTCTCTCTTCCTCCTTCCTTTACGTCAGCAGGTATTTGTCAAGCCTATTTGATGGGACAGACCCCATGCTTGGTGCTAAAAACATAATGGTAGTAAGAGAGAGAGACCTTAGACCTTCCCTTCCCTCGTAGGACTCAGAGCAGTTATCCGGGGTAGACGGATTATGCCAGCAAAGTGAATACCTAACACTTCCCACCACAGAAGTTTGATGTCACAGGAGCACCGAACCCAAAACTGGGGCGTCAGAAAGGCCACAGTTGTGTTTTAAGTTGAAAAATGTTCTTTTTTGTCTAAATATAGCTCTCCTGTCATTGAAATTTTCAATATAAAACTTTAAGTATGCTGTCTACCTAACAATAGGTATTTTTGCCTCAGATTATGTGTAGTTTAAAGGTAATAAAATGATTGGTAGCATAAGGCCCACTGCAGAAGCCACCTCCCCTGACCCTGAGTTGAGAAGAGCCCTTTATCCCAGCTGCTCCCACCACTGGGAGAGGAGCTTTTATTCACCATTCTTAGGCTCTTCCCAGCCAAAGGGCCGGGCCGTTCCTGGTGATTAATCTGATCCCTGATGAGCCAGCAAGAGTCTGGAAACAGTTTTTGAGATAATTGTATATTTGTAATCAGGAGTCAAGTTTAAAAGCAGGCAGTTGCTTAGCTAGGGTGCTTCTTTACAATTCTGATCACTTTAACAAAAACGGTGAAACCTGAAGTCATCCAGTGGGTAGGACTTTGATTTAGAAACTGTGGAATGTTCCACCTACCTGCCGATTCTCATTTTGAGCCCATATGGAATTTCCAGTAACAGGTTCTTTTCAAAAGGTCGGTGGGACAGCCATAATGAGCTGTGGGCCACATGCCCAAGGCTCTGAGCAAATCCGAGTAGACTTAGAATCAGGCGTGGGTCTGTGACACCTTAGACTTATAACCCTTTCTCCTTAGGAACCCAAGTTCTTTCAATATCTTTATTATCTCTTGTTCTGTCACGCTCTCTCTCCTCCCCGTGGTCGTCTTCTACCACACCTAGCTAGGTTTCCAACCTTCCAACCCAAAGTGTAACCCCACGGAAACCTCAAGATCCTTCCTGCCCTCTGCCATTCGCCTTAGCCAGCTGGACCCCCTTCCTCTCCTTGGGCCTGGCTCCGTGCTCCCATTAGCCGTCTGGTTACGCAAAGAGCCTCCCATTCCCCAGGGAACCCAGCCCCACGTCCTACCAACCAAAAGTGTCACTCCAGAGGGGAGAGGGAGAAGAACAAGAGGGGCTTCCCAGTGGTCTTATAACTCCTTTACTACTTCAGAAGGGCCTCGCTCCCCCGCCTGCCCCCATGTACATCAACGAGGGGTGTGTCTGTTTGCTGCCCTCCCCCCGACCTGGTCCCTCAGAGGGAAGGTCACACACCCTAAATTGTGAGTGTTCGTTCAGCTGTTCACTGAGCACTTACTCCAGATCCAGATCCGTGGTTCTGTGTTCTCGCTCCCTCCGTTTTCTGTCCTGGCTGACACCGGTGGGTAGCCACAGAGGCATCACTGTGCTGGGACGGAGGGCTCTGGGACGAGGAAGGGCTGGGTGGAAATGCCTAGGCTGGAGAGTGAATTACAGTCATAATAGAGGAAGCGATGAGCGCCATGAACTTGAAGAATTCTCATGTACTTGGCCTCCTGCCTCTATTCAGGCGGTCTCCCATGACATACTGTAAAAGTACCACTGTGCTAGGCAATTCCAGTGATAGAAATGGATCAAAAGACAGAGGGGAGGGGCGCCTGGGTGGCTTGGTCAGTTAAGCGTCCGAGTCTCAATTTCAGCTCAGGTCATGATCTCAGGTTTGTTAGATAGAGCCCTGCAGTGGGCTTCCTTCTGGGCGTGGAGCCTGCTTAAGATTCTCTCTCCCTCTCCCCCCACCCCTGCTCTATCTTAAAAAATGGGAGAAGGCAACATGACTAAAATCATGAGGGCTGTATGTGGAGAATGGGTTAGCGAGCAGGCAGTGGGGGGAGTCACTGCTGTGCCCAGGGGCCCCCGGGGGCTGGAGAGTGGGCATTGGTTGGCTTGGGCAGCAGGGCTGTGAGGACCCATGGTGTGCGGATGCTGAGAGGGAGGGGGGATTATTGAGAGAAGGGAACTTGCCCTTCTTGTCTCTTCCTCTTGACTTACTCCAAGGTCCATCCCCAGTGTCCTCTCCGGCACTCTGGCTTCTGCAGTGATACCTGAGGGTACAGCGTGGCATCGGTCTTCGTGAGTGGGCCTGTGAAAGTGGCCTTTCCTTTGCCAGTTGATCTATCCTCATACGCTTCAGCCCCTGACGGTTTTTACTAGGGATGTTTATAGCTGCGCATCCATTACCTCGTGCATCTGGAATACCACCAGAGGCCAACCTGGGCTGGATATTTCTACAGAAGCCTCAGCCCTTTGTATGTTGTACAGACCAAAGCACTCTCGAGAGGCAGCAAACCTATTTTCCATGGGTCGAATGCTTCCAGAGACCCTTCTTGCCTCGTCCAGGGAGAGCTCACAGGCTCAGACACCTCAAGTGCCACAGATCTGTCTGCAGGCACCAACACAGGCTTCTGACGGACTCTGTGGCCAAGCCTCAGGAGGGGGTTGGTTGGTTTTAAAACAAGGAAGGATTTCTAGAATAAGGGAAGTTTTCTTTTTCCTGTACTTAAGGCTGCTGGTTGCCTTCATTTTTTTTTTTTTTAATAAATAACCCAACCATCATATCATCAGAAATAAGAGTGAAAGCTAGTGAATGAGGCTCAGCTGCCTTGTGAGCAGCATGTGAGGGGGTCTGCGAGGTGAACTCTGTGGGGCCATATCCCTGAGTCTTAGGCCAGGTACGCAGGAAGGGGATGGACACTGCATGTGCTCGGTGTGTGTTCCAATGGATCAGTAATTCCGGCCAGATAAATAGCATGTACAAAGGCCCAGCATTATTAGAGAAGAAAATTTCCCCTTCCAAAGGTAATTTTTGGAAATTCTGTTAGGGTGATTTCAGTACACTGAATGAGAGATTTGACCTGAGGGTGACCATGAAAGATTTAATTCATCTCCTAAAGGATATTGTCTGCATAAATCTAAATGCACAAGGGGTTAAAAAAAGAAAGGGAGGGGGAGGATTCTCAGCAGGAACAGGGTGAAGGTTTGGGCCTGTGTGTAGCTGCTATGCCCATTTGGGATTTGAGACCCAGTCTATTGACGCCACGGTCAGTGTCCCTTCAGCCCAGGTGATACTGCTTCCCCCTTCCCTACACCATCTCTGTCATCAGTATCAGAGGCCGCACAGCCCTCGAAGTTTGTGGAACCAGCCTCCAGGGGAGAAAAGGGGAATGAAGGGCTGTTTTGCTGAGGGAATGGGGCTTCCTTATCTTGCTCTTCCCCCTGCACTCCCTACAGTGTCCCCAGAGCCAGAACCAGACGAGTTAAGACCAGTCCGCTCAGCCGGGCTCTCCGTCTCACCCAGTTGTCCTTGTAGCTGAGACCCAGTTTCTCAGTAGAAAGCGTTTGTCTACAGTGGCTTCAGGACATTTATGAAGGGATCCAAAATGAAGGGCGGCTCTTCCTGCAGGTTTCCTGAAGAAGGTCCTCAAAATACATCTAGAATAACCACAGTGGCAGCCTCTCTCATCTGCCTCCCCTCCCTGCAGAGGATGAACAGGGTAGAAGGATGTGCTCTGGCCCGTGTTAGCAGGAGAGGAGGAAAGCTCGCTCAGAGCCCGGATGCAACCGTGTCAGGCAGAACGATCCGTCCCACAGTGGTTATGAACACTCAGTTGGCAGACGGGATGACCAGAGTGCTGTTGAAGTCGGACGTGTGGCCCAGGCTCAAGCTCCATTGCACATCTCTTGTTTCATCTTAGAGGCAGGCGTAGTTGGCCACGTTTCTTATACTGTTTTTTGGTCTTGTTTTTTTTTTTTTTTTTCCTTCTACCCTCACTCCCTTGCAGGTACATTCATTAAAACTTGCCCTCGAAGGTGTGGAAAAGGAGAGAGATTTCTACTTTGGCAAGTTGAGAGAGATTGAGCTACTCTGCCAAGAACACGGGCAGGAAAATGATGACCTCGTGCAGCGACTAATGGAAGTCCTCTATGCTTCAGAAGAACACGTAAGTGTGAGGAGAGCCCTTGACTCCTGCGATGCTCTTGGTCAGGGTGCAGTGATCAGTGTGCCTTCAACTGCTGCCCTGGGATCTCTGAGAATTAGGACTCAGTGCATTTGTTATTCCCAGAGGAATAAGTATCATTATCATCTGATTCGTTGACCCATGCTTGTGGGCTGTGCATTCATGAAGTAATCTGGGAACAGATGAGTGGATGGGGTGGGGGGAGAGTAGGAAGACTGATTGAGAACAAACTGGTATCAAGTGGTTTTCAGCTCTGAGCAGCTGAGCAACAAGAACGTGTGTAAGGATTCTTCCTGACGGAGTATGGTTAGAGGAAGAATTCGCCTAGGTGTTTTTCCCATCCCCATAAGCCCCCCCACTGCCTGTTTTTATTTCATCACTGGTTGTCTTGGTTACTCATTGCCAGTGCAGACCAGCACTATGCAACAGCCCTTAGCTGAAAAATATTTTTAGAAGGGCTCCTCTGGGGGTGTCTGGTGGCTGGCTCAGTCAGAAGAACATGCAATTCTTGATCTCAGGGTCATGAGTTCAAGTCCCATGTTGGGTATAGAGATTACTTAAATCTTAAAAAACAAAAATTAAAAAAAACGGGGAGGGGGGCAGCGGCCTCCTCTACGGGCAGGACCTGGCAACCAGGGCTTGCTCCTCAGGCATGTGAGGGAGAGGGGGTGGGAGGGGGGCCCAGGATGTGGATGCTGTCCTGCTGAAGGACAGCAGCTATGAGGAACAGCAGAGGAGCAAGACTTTCAAGACTCAAGGACAGGAAGGGAAGGGGGGGTAAAGGGTAGAGATGAAGTCAGGTACCCCCAAATCTGCCTGTGCAGGGAGTGAGGGGCCCCAGCAGCAAGGCAGGAGTAGGAGCCTGCCAGAGAGCCCCCCCCACTGTGGAAAGTGGGAAGGAGGGGGCTGGGGTTTCAGGCTCTTCCCTAGGCCAGGCTGAAGCTGGTAGGAGGTCTGAGTCTGTTGGACCTGGAGCCCTGGGGCCATCCCCAGGGCTCGGGGGCCGAGTTGCGTGTGTTCATACTTCGACGGAACGGGAACAAGTCACCGGCAAGTTTACTTTATGACTTATTCCAGCCCAATACCAGACAAATGTTTACTCCATGTAAGATTTGAAATCCTAGGGATGAGATTTTCTAAAACAGCCCATGGTTTGAGGACTCTCCACCACATTTTTCATTCCCTCTCCCCAGCCCAGATTTTTTTTTTTTTTTTAAGCTTCTTTCTCAATCATCAGCTCAGACTGTAGATCTTGAAGCGCTGAGAAGCTTCCTGTCCAGGTCCCAGAGGCAGTGATGGCTTCACAAAATACAGTTCTCAGTGTTTTCAGATCTGATGGCAGAAACTTACTGATTTCTAGTGTGCCTGCACCAGCCCGAGTGCTTGGTACTCTGTCAGGTACTACGTGAGTTACGGTTATTCTCCTCACAAGTTTGTTGGAGGCTAAATCCAACGTGGTCTCCACAGCGCCGCAAGTCTGAACGACCGGGCCCACTGACAGGAGGAAGGCAGGGAGCAGCATCAGAGCGTCCCGGCCCTGTGCTGTCGGTGGGAGGAGAACCCTTCCGACAGCCACCCCAAGCCAGGTCTTGTCCCGAGAGGGAGTCCTTGGGCAGGGGCCTGCTCAGGTGACTTCCAAGTTTAGGGTTGACACAGGTCCCTGAGTTCTGGCTCACGGTAGGCAGGGCCAGCCCTGGGGGAGAGCTCCTGCCTTCTGAGTGTGACTTTGGGGGATTCTGCCTGGTGCCCGTTCTTGGGTTAAACACAGACGCACCCTACATTACCATTTCAGGGGCAGGTATTCGCTGGAGAGGCTTCTTGTCTAAGGCTTTATTTGGCGATGGCTGGTCTTTGATTCTTGGAGTCAAACAATCCTAGAATAGAATGTTTGGAAGATGTAGAAATCCAGATGGGAGTTTGCGTACAGAAGTAAACAGGGGCAGTTCAGTTCACGGTTGTAGAAACCTGATGGAAGTTTCCAAAGCAGATCACCAGACTGCTGTCTTGTGCCCCTCTTTATCATTCTCGGGATCTTTTCCCTTCGGGGCCACAGGTATCTGGACTTAGTCATTGCTTAGCTGCTGCCTTGTCCATCTGTCAGCTGAGTTGCGCCTGCCTGTATAAACACACACTTAATTCTTGAGGTACTGTCACAAAAGTCACTGTTTAGTGACCTAAAGATTCCTCCCTGCTCAACCAAGAGCTCGGGGGACGAGCCTGTGCTTCTGTCATTGGACGAACCCTGGGTATACAGAAAGGGGACAGAGCCACTGTCTCAGCGAGGGACCACGAACTGGACGAGGTCAGGTATGACACATGTGGTGAGCACAGAAAGACAGCCGGGAGTGACAAGCAAAAACTTCACCGAGAAGAGGACGTTTGGGTTGGAGTTGAAGAATGACCGGGAAGAGCAGCAGGGAGAGGGCTGTTCAGGCCGAGGAGAGCGGGTGAGCACAGCCCTGAGGAAAGAAGAGCCCGATGGGGACGGTGTGAGCGGGGGCAGATGAGCCTACCGAGTGCCACCTCCTTCTAGGAAGTCAGGAGCCATGGGAGCTCCTCGGCGACCCTTCCTCCTTCCTTTGCCCCCATTTTCCACCTGTAGTAGGCAAGAGCCTTCTTCCTGCAGGCTTCCAGCTTGCTTCTCTTTCTAATGATTATCATGAGAATGAGGAACTCTAACAGGCTTGCTTCACAGCTAAACCTTCAGAAAGATGTGATGGATTGATATGCAAATACTAGAATTTAGCCGGTAGTACTCCAGGGCATTGTCTGGCATAGGTTCTGCCTGGCCTCCTACTTCCATGTGTGTTTAAGTTCTTCCTTCTTACATAAGAAAATTTTTCTTCTTGTGAGCTTACACAACATGGTGTGAACTGGGAGCACTTGGCTGTGATATGTAGTATGACCGCCTCAGCATTCCAGATACGTCCTGCAGACCTTCACCCCACCTTATCATGCACCCCTAGCATTAGCAATCCCTTGGTAAACTGGGAGGTTTGCTCTTTAGCCTAGTAAGAGTGGTCTGGGGTCCATAGTTCCTGCAGGTGGATGATGTCACAGAGTCCCCTAGCTCAACAAGGAGGAAAAGGAGACCGGTGGTGAGGTCTGATCTCAGGGGTTCCTGGTCCCACACGGTGTTTGAATCCATGGGTTTGACTTTCAGTCCTGGGTTAACCCCATTATCCCACGGTTAACTCCCAACTGTGCTGTGAGCAAACCATGAGTTTCTGTAAAATGTCAAAACAGACCCTCAGTTCTGAGATCTCCCATGCACCCTAACACGTACTAACCAAGTAAGGAAAGCACACTTGTGACCTGCCAGAGTCCTAGCAGTAGGAAAGGAAGGCACCCTGCTAGCAGTAGAGTTAGGATGATGGATAAAATAGCATCCCTGACCCTTCGAGGCGGTGGGAGCCTGGCTCGAGGGGCAGCCAGCCAGTGGGCTCGTGCACGCACACACTCAGGCCTGCATCCACTCAGGACTGTGGGGCATAACCTGACGGAAGCCGAACCAGGCGGTGAAGCTGAGCAGAGTAGCAGATGCTGGGGTGAAGGTAGGGAGAGTGGCAGCAGGAAGGAATGCGGGGCAGAACAGACGCCGGGGAGTTCCCAGGACCACTCGATTTCTTTTTTTGCCCCTAGACAAGAGGGAGAACACTTACTGGAAGAGGCTCGTGACTTTCCCTGTCTCATACTATCTGCACAAGAAATACTCCCATACTCCCACAGGAAGGCCACACTCAGTTGAGGCACTAACTTTTGGGCGCCGAGGACCACCTTCATCCTGCACACAAAGCAGTAGGATGCTGCAGTGAGGGCCCGGGGATGAGTTGGCAGAGGGGGAGCCGGGGGGGACATTCTGAGGCCAAAATCCAACATGGTTAAGTCATGAAGGAGTGGGGGGCGGGGGCAAGGACAGCATAGTGCATGGTGTGGGCAGAGGGGAGGATCTTGGGCCTTAGCACATCAGCAGGGGGGTGGTCCTGGGCATGGGGAAAGCTGACTGTTACTAAATAATATGCGTCTGGACACCGAGCCAGTAAGGGACAGCACTAGATTTGAACCAGGGTCTTCAGTGTGATGTTCCTTTTGACTGTTGTCACAGAAAAGGTTACTTTTTAAAACCTTTTCACTTCTAGAATATATTTTAAAGAGCTCTTCCACCAAGAAATAATTGCAGCTCACCATAGGTATTATGAACCAAACAATATTCTAGGCACCTTGAATTCCTTGACTCCTCAAGGAATGAGGAGTTAGATGAGTGCTCCTGTTATAATGGAGCAGAGAAGCATCTGGGTCCATGCATGGGCTCATGGGAGCGGGAAAGCCCTGGCCCCGCAAGGTGGGCCTCTCCCCAGTCCATGCGGGACGCTGCGGGGCCTCCCCCCCCACCCCAGTACCTCGTTCCAGCTGAAACCTCTCCGCCTGTCCTGCAGGAGGGCCACCCAGAGGAGCCTGAGGCTGAAGAGCAAGTCCACGACCAGCAGCCCCAGCAGCCGGAAGAGTACTGAAGCGTCCTGGCCGCTCGCGCCTTCAGCTGTGCGTGGGAACTTTTCTTCTGGAGAAACGCGTGGCCTCAAGCTCAGCCGTAACCAGTCGTTCCCAGTCTGCCGTTAACATCAACGCACTGTTGCATCCGCCAGCCACCGCGCTCGGTTCCCATTTCCTTTGCCAAGACCCATTAGCAGCCGGCCGTTGGGCGGCCTGAGAGATCACAGGGTCACATCCCTTCTACTTCACCACTTGGCTGCTTGAGATTGATTCTGCTCTTTTCATTTCTCAAACGCCCCCCTTCCCAACACCACCCCTCCTTTTATCCTGGTGTGAAACAATGGTAATTTGATATATGGTATTTATATCGGCATTTCTCAACCAGTGTCACTAGATGTCACACATTCGTGGTGCTTTGATGTTTGCAAGTCTAACCTCTAAAGGTAAATTTGGTCAAATAAATTGGAGCAAAGGGAAAGAGATACTTGATATGAAAGCCATAAGGACAGTGACTCGTTTTATAGGGAAAAAAAAAAAAAAAAAAGGAATCAAAACTAGGACTTCGGGGCCCAGCAGTATTTCTCCCTGAGCAGGGTAGACAGCTACAGTTCGTCAGGGACAACACCATCTCCGCTTCCCCCTCCGACTGCTCGCCCCTCCCCTCCCACACCCAGGTTCTCATGCTCTTTTCTTTCTCAGGGTCCTCTTTGGTGGGCAGCCACTCTCCCCAAAAGCTGTCATCAGTTACCTACAGTCCACAGGGGGTCTGCATAGGTGCAGGTCCTCCTGCCTCTCTGGCTTTCAGCCCAAAGCCTGTCCTCCGCACTAGGGGACTCCTCCTCCAGAACGACTTCAGGGTGTGCGGCCCTGAGGGGCAGGGCTCTGCATCGTGCTGCACGCTCGCTGGAAGTGAAGACCTTCTTCCTGGGAGCATCATTCCAAGGGTGACTCCTGATTCTGAAGTCTGGTGTTGACACTGGAATGACAGCACAGAAAAAAATCCCTGACTCCCCATACCTTCTGGAATAAGGAATTTCCCCTCGTTAATACTAAGGCCCTCCTTGTCATTGACCTTTGATAACCGTGGCAATTCATAAATAGAGGAAACATTAATGAATTAAAAGCATTCCTTATTTTTTTAACTAATATTTGCACATTTTCTTAGTATCTTTCCAAATCTTTGCCTCTCTTATTCCTTTGACAGATGGTATCCCTTCCTGGATCATTCATTTCACTTGGTTTCCAACTTTAGATTTACCTCACTTGTTATTGGACTTAGCAGGTGCAGCAACAACAACCAACAAGTGTGCCCACCCCACTTGCCTCTTAACTGAAAAGCTTCAAATAAATTTCTGAAATATGTATCATAAAGCTTTGACATTTCTTTATTAATTGGTGAAATACTAATTCTCGATTCTAGCTTTGGAGCTTTCCACCAAAAGAAGTCTTCTCAAAATCTATTGCAGCAAAGTGGCATTTGAGTTACAGGTGAACAAGATGGCTTGTATTTTTGAGGTTATTCCAACACGCTGTGCATAACTGGACAGACGTTCTGTGGTGTTCGGTTTCCCTTTCTTCTTCTCTCGCGCCTGCTCTGCACGGCGGCGACCCCTCTCTCTCTGGCCGGCCAGCCTGGCTCCTGGCAGTGACATCCTCCCGCACCTGCGCACAGGCAGTGGTTGTGCTATGCTCAGCCTCGTGCTCAGCGGTGTGCTCCCTCCCAGCCATTTGTACGGACCTTCCTTTTGGAAAAATAGCTCTTGTAAAGAGGCACAATGAATAATTCCAGGCGGATGTTCCTTGGGTGGTTCCTCGGCAGGGTCCGCTCAGGAAAACCCAGTGCCAGGTGGAAGGCGGCCCGGATTCCTGGCCTAGGGGTGGGGGGGATGGCAGCGCAAGCTGCCTAAGCCTCGCCGGCACCAGCCGCTCTGTCTCTCCCCCAAAGCCCCAGCCTTGTCAGCTATGAAAACCTACTTTCCCCAGTGGTCATACCTGATTCTCCATCCCCGAGTCTTAGCGCCAGCTATTCACGGATTTAGCGAAGAGCTACATGTTCCTCCTGTCCGCATCTGACCCCTCTTCCATCGTGCCGGGTCACATGTGACATCACCGATGCTTTGGGGAATCTTGAACAGCTAGGGTTCTCCGTCGTCTTCGGCTGCACCCCAGCTTCGGTGCAGACCACCTCCTTTCCTGGGGCTACTCCTTTCTCCCCGAGGGCTGTACCCTGTCATCCTCCCATCTGGGCGGAGAAGCATCCCGTTGTGGGCTCGGCCCGCCCTCTCAGAAGCCGGACTTCATTGTTAGCCACGCGGCTATGGCTGGTGATAGCACTTCCCCTGCTCGTGTCAGATAGGAAGTGATTGAAGCAGGGGGCAGAGAGAGGGCCCGTCTTCTTTCTAAGCAGAAAAGCATAAAAAGGAAAGACAAAGACAAACACCTTGTTGAGCAGAGAGAAGTAAACTCCAGAAGGGAACCAAGAATTCCTCCCTTCCCTGGTGAGTATTTCCATTATTCCGTTAAGGTTTGATATGCATTCAGATTACTTTTACTAAATAGTACACCATAAATCTTTTGTTATATATTCAATGTAAACTGAAGGAATGTAAACATATGTATTGTTAATTATAAATAGAGATAAGTAATGACATCATAGATGAAAAAGTCTTATTCAGATGTATCACATTCATTTTACATTACCCTATTGTCGCATGGTAGAATAGTTTTTTGTCTCTGAATATGTGAATAACTTGACTTGCGTTTATCTTTTTACATATTTAATAAAAAAAAGTATATGTTAAAAGGACTGGATTTACAGATTCTTACATTTTTATGCTAAGGTTTCCTTCCGAGTGAGCATGTGTATGTGAATAGGCTATTTATGTGGAATCCCGCATCTACCCACATTTTTTTATGATTGACAAGGTGGGGGGGGTCAATGGATGGCAAATGTTTTAACAGGAATTAAAAATTAGTATCTGATATCAAATGTAGCAGCTGTGATACCTTTTTAAAAACTTTACCAAAAAAAAAAGTAAGCCATTCCCTTAGGAAAGATTGCACTTGCAGGCATACAGAAGCCTCGCTCCTGCAGCTCCAGCCCGCTCCATCCGGACCAGACAGGGCTGGGCAGATAGGAAACTGGGGGAGCAGCAAGCAGATGTTTCCAAGCTTCATGGCAAAATGACGTAGGATGAGCAAAAGCTCTCAGGTTCAGTGCATTCTCCCCCTCTAGTTTGACAACTTGGACCAACAGTGATGATTTCTACACACCAGTAGAATACCAACTCATAGGCACAGGAATAGGTGAAGAAAAGAAATGCCTTAGAAGTGGCGAGGCTGGAGAACAGGGGACAGCAGCGTGTGGGAGAGTTGGCCCAGGAGATGGCAGGTCACGGAGGCTCAGCCCATGCACTCCCCACCCTGACGGGATGCGAGCCTGCCCTAAACTGCTTTCAAGCACCACCTAGAGGCCAGTTTGGTTCCTATACTCTCCTTTGGCGACTATTTCCCATCCACTTGCCTTTAGGCCCTTTTAAGCAGAGAAGTGGGAAAGGGACCGAAAACAAATATACTACCACTTTTCTCCATCTACACTCACATCTGCACTGGGTAAGTGTGTGATAGAAGACTGAGCTGTTACCTGAGTTGGGAAAGTTCATGCTCAAAACACACGTGTTTCCATTTCATTCTGCCAGCCCTGGGATCTTAAACACTAGCTCTCCCACTTAGACATCTGCACACAAATTGTCCAGAATACGTGTGCTCCATCTTACCTGAAAGGCACACCGGTGGACTCTAGGAAGCACATCACTAATGGTACAAAAGGGGGGGGCGGATAATAGGTTTGCTCCACGTATTAAATCTGAGATCATCTCTAAAAATTGAACATGTTCCTACTGGGACTATGGGATTATGGGTAGGCCCATGGTGGGGGGGCGGGGGCAGAAAGGGGTTCATGTAATTCCACTAAATTCAAGTTATACAATGCCAGTTCTCTAAAATGAAACCGGTAACTTCATTTCTGGCCTTTAATTAGTCTTCCTCTTCACCGCTAGACACAGCTCCTGTGATCCTTCCAGCCACTGTCACTCGCAGACATCACTGACCCACCCTCTCGGCCCTAACGCCCTGTTGCCAGACTGCGCAAGTGTGACAGCAGGGCCGCTCCGGTTCTGGAGAGCTGGGAACTCAGACGTCCACCACTCACTGGAAGAGTTCTGGTTTTGTTGCCTAATGGAAGGCAAACCTTAAAATCCCTTGAGCCCTGGTAGGAGTCCTCACATGGCACTGGGACTTCAGATCACAGGACTGCCCAAGGGCAGGACCCCCCCTCCACAGCCCCCACACCTTTTACAGGTAGGGCTCACACAGAAGGTGTGTTTGCTGAGGTGTCCCACCTCCTGTGTTGCCATGAGGATTGTGGAAGGCCCAGCCGAAGCTTATTGAATGCATTTTTCTTTTTCACTGAAAATGTTGACTCTTTTTAGCTTGTCAAGCTTAACTTCTTAAACCGGTTGCCCGTGGTATTTTGTAACCATTTTCTTAAGACTGAGTATAAATGAAGTGTTTTTAAAGGGTAATAACATCTCAAAATACCTCTGAGTTTATGATATTCAGTAGGAACTAGCCCAGTACCTAAATGGGTTCTTTTCCTTCTATGTAGCAAACGTCCCTCATTTTTACATTATACTATTTCTCTAGGTCTTGAAGGTTATCTGTATAATTTTTTAGGTGTGTTTATCTTACTAAAATGTTTTGGTTAAATCTGACTGCTCTCACACGTTAATTTCTAACCTTTAGAAATTAGAGAACAAAGAGTTCCCATAAATGCGCTCACAATTTTTATCTGATCTAAATTCACAGACTACCACTAGGACACTCTCTCCTAATCTGACATATTTATGATACAGATGAAATGTGACCTTCTCCCAGGGAAACCTTTTTTTTTTTTTTTTACCAGTTCAGAGTTTTTCCAGAATGAGAGACTATAGAAAATCACCTTAAATGTCAGTCTCTCAGAGGCTAAGCTCTCTCAAAGATAGGTTCAGAGATCATCCTGTCCTGCAGACACAGACACTGTCCCATCACATGAGCAAAATATGGGGGAGGGGGCCAAGAAGGAAAATGTGAATTTTACCTCAAACATCTTCAATTTTTCTTGAGAGTGGTTTTGAAACTAATGTCACAGAACGCTGACCAGTCACAGCTAAAATATCAATACAACATCCCAGGTCATCTGGCTTTTCTTTTTTAAATTTTGGTAACATTTCCTCGGGGATGAAAAACACACTCCTTTTAAAGATTTAATAGGCACAGAATGAACATTTGTATTTGTCATACCTACAGATCTAAAAAGGCTCAAATGTACTAATTTTTCTGAGAACGTAATGTGGGAAATTGCAGACAGGTGGTTGTATCTCTACCGTCTTTCCTAAGCAAAGACTTGACAGTGTAGATACTCTCTTGTTAGAACACAGTTTTGTTAGCCTCTGAGTATTACAAAGAGGCTCCAAACATTTATTTGAAAACACTCCTAATAGCTTACACGCAATCTAAAAACCATCTGCCGGACCACACAGCCATAGGTAGACTCAACACGTGACATGATGGAAAAGCCTCACGTAACTCCTTACTATCCTAACTGAGAATGATGGCCATGCTCAGGCATCCTGTGCGGTGGTGCTCTGTCACTGCACTGGTTTGCAGGCCGTGAAAGGCCTTTGCCATTTTCTGATGGGACTATGTATGCTACCTTCCACAAAGAAAGTGGTGCGTTTCTCTGGAGAAGTGCCCCCAAATCCAATTTGGGTGTGCTTTGGGGCTGAACTTAGGCTTTTGAAGACCTAGAAGGAGGACTCTGGACCGGTGGTGCCTGTCGGAGCTGAGCCTCCGAGAGCTTTCAGCTCCCTCGTCACTCCCTACTTTTCCAGTTCAGGGGCAGTCATGATTTTCCTACCAAAGGAAAGAGAAGGAAAGACTGCAAAGGGGACAGTGGTATAAGAGATGATCCCTCTTCCTTTCTAAGATACTTTAAGAATAATCCAGTATCCTTCGAGTCACTTGTCCCTGTTTTGGAAAACAGCATGGGGGTTGGGAGACAAACTCGAGCCTGTCCTCAACCCAGGTGCGGCTCAACAAGAACAGATTAGCTTGAGGCAGGAGCTGTGTGCTCACTTCAGAGGACAGGCAGGGTAAGAACCCAGGCCCTGGGGAGGGGGGACTGGCAGCCCAAGGCCAGCTGAGGTGGGCAGGAGGCAAAGGGCTGGCAAGAGGATTCCACCAAGGCTGCAGCTTTGGCAGAAGAGAAGCCCACGTCTCCACGTATCTTGTCCACGGAAGCTCTTCGGTCCTGGGTTCCAACACCATTG